GGTTCTGTTTCTCTCATGTGGCCCAATGTGGTCTTGAATTCATAGAGATCCAGACAGACCTCTGCCTCCCAAGTGATAGGATTAAAGGTGTGTGCCACCACTATCTGACCTCTATGTCTAAATTAGTGGCTGGCTCTGTCTTCTAATCCTCGGGCAAGCTTTATTGGGGTATACAATATATCACCACATAAGTGTTTTCACTGTGTGTGTGTGTGTGTGTGTGTGTGTGTGTGTGTGTAATTCAGTATAATTTGGATAAAACTCAGTTTTTAGATTAAACTTTAATCCATTTATTCCAGCTAGAAATAATGTTTCAGGTTAATTCTTATCCAAATTATACAGAAGACATCAGTCTAATAATCTAGTAATAACAACATTCATTATTTTTTGTACACTAGGTACTGATATTTCTTGATTTAATTAGTATCTAAAATGGCCTATATTACAATTAGCCAGGATAAATAAATTAAACAATTTGTATCTTACTAGTAAGAAAGGGAGAAGGATAATAATACAGTGACTGCTCCCAAAGTCCCATTTCTAACCAGGTAAATATAAGTTACTTCATAGACTACAAGTAACTAAATAGAGGGGAAATAGAAAGTCAACCTAGTTATAAAAACATGGAAATTTTTGTTTTAGATACATGTTTTCTTTATTGTTACCTTCACTCCATTAGGCTAAACAGTGTGCTTGATACTCAATTTTAAGTATAGTCATTCTAGTTCACATGTAAATGTATGTCCAATACAGAGAGTATAAACAAATCAGATCCAGATCACGAGCTAATTATTTTGATGCGATCCAGGACTTTGTGTCTTAATGGCATTTCCCATCTATTCCTCTCTCCCGAAGACTGCCGTCCTGGCCCCCTCAGCCTCATCTACATCCGATCCTAGGAATGAGCTTCCTAGTTGTGAGAGAAATTATGATATTAATAAATAATGTGACATCCGCCATGACCAAAATGTGATGCTTTTCAGACAAGGGGAACTGCGGATGAGAACTCCTGAAAGGAAGATGTGTGTATCTGAGGAGACGGATGGGTTAGAATTGCAATGCCTTGGAGAGATCTGAATGTTGCAGGTGGAGGGGCTAATTCCCTTGTCTTGGGCTAATTTTAGGGCACCCCCACCCCAACAGCCATCCCTTAACCCACCTCTGTGTCAGAACTAACATTCTGTGACTAATAGATAAAAATCTTTTGAAATTTATTAACTTAGCAGACTCCTAGATTTTCCATCAACCCAAAAGCTAAGAATGTCACCAGATAGCATCTTAGGCTTGTAGAAACGCTTCCTCAATTTTGGCTTGTAGAAACGCTTCCTCGACTTTGGCTTGTAGAAACGCTTCCTCGTCTTTGCTGTAACCACCTTCCTAAATTTGCTTTGATTTGTGACTTTCTTTGTTCTGTAAAACTAAGAAACTGCTTCCATGTTGAGACATAGAATCTGGGGTAACTGTGTCCTGGGTCATGGTCACTAGAAATGGCTCCAGAATAAACTCTCTCTTATTTACTTTAAGATAAGAGCTGTGGTTTTCTGCATTGCCATTCCCATTATCTGTGAATTTCATTGTTTGGGTTGGAGAGATAAGAACCTAAGGGCCACTGACTCACTGGAAGGTTTGTGTGAATCTGGGTGTCTGGCACCTTAATTCCCAAATTAAAGCCCATCTGAGGAGAGATAATGCCTCTATCAAACTCAAAGACTGCCCACTTTTTCTGTATCAACACCAGGCTTCAGCCTTTTCCTAGCCCTGCCTAAGAATCCTGGAGGAATTCCATTTCCTCGGTCATTATTTCTTCAATGGTCTGATAGCTCAAGAATGGGGTACAAGTTTCTCTCTAGAAGATCTTTGCTTCTTCCAGGGCTGCTGCACTGCTGCAAGTCCCCGACAGGAAGGAGGGGAACGATGCTCATTCTCCCCTTTTACTGACACATTTTGGCAGCTTAAAACCCGAGTGCTATCTTTCTTCCTTTTAAAACTTAAAGAAAATGACATTATTTATTTATTTCGTGTGTATATGTATTGATGGATACATGCCATGATGCACGAGTAGAGTCACAGGATGACTTGTGAGACTCAGTTCTCTTTCCACCACATGGGCTCCAGGTATTGAACTCAGGTCATCAAGCATGGCCACAGGCACCTTTATCCACTGAGCTGTCTCATCAGCCCTCCAACTTTTAAAAGGAATATTTTTGATTAATGTGTTTATCGTGTGTGTGTGTGTGTGTGTGTGTGTGTGTGTGTGTGTGTGCGCGCGCGCGTATGTGCATGGACATGCTCGCACTGCTGAACATGCCACCATTCATGGGTGGAGGTCAGACCACAGGTTTTCGAGGGCCTCCTTTCACCTTGCTTTTGGCAGGGTTTTTCTTGTTTCTCCTTAGAATACTTGATTTGTACCAAACTTCTTGTGGGAAAGGTTTGGGGTTTGGAATGCAAGGGGGCAACTGGGGTAGACTGTCCTTTGGGTAAGAGATGTATTAGAAGAGTCCTTAATTCCAGGAATAGATAAACAGCAGCATGGCAGGACCCCCCAGGCAAGGTTCAGGGGCTATAGGAAGACATACAGCATGGTGTAGGGAGAAGTTTCTCTCCTGCCTGCCAGTTCGCAAATACTCAGCAGCTGCTTCCCAAATAATTGACTCAGAGGCTTAATATTTATAAATGTTTGGCCGGTAGCTCAGGCTTATTACTAACTAGCTCTTACACTTAAATTAACTCATAATTCTTATCTATGTTTAGCCATGTGGCTTGGTACCTTTTCTTAGTTCACTAAATTCTGACTCATTAGGAATAAATTCAGCACAGCAGGGGTTCTGATGAGAATTCAGGACCTCGAAGCAGAACAGGAATCCCTTCTTATAGGTCTATGTGGCAGAGAGAGGTCTCACATCACATGGTTAATGAGTCAACCACAGTATGAGCCAAGCTGTCCTTGATTCCCAGGTACAGGGGAAGGGGCCCTGCACACTGGAGAAGGACTGCATGATTCTAAGAATGCTGGTGAGGCGAAGCACATCTAGTTGAGGTGCATGCATTATACCAGCAGCCCTCTGATGTCCTGGGAGTCTGCTAACCTGAAGTCTGTAAACTCCCTTGGGGATGTAAGAATGACACTTGTCATTCTCCTGAAATCTGGGCACCTGGGACATCTGTTAAGGGATTAGAGTCACAAACAGGCTCTCATTTTCTTATAATAGCTCTGGCTGTGCTTCGGGTAGGCATGGCCTGATTAGCTCATAGTTGAAAAGCTAACATTGTCCACGTGCAGAACTGACCTCTTAACACGGAGCAAGGGTGTTTCTTTCAGCTAACGTGATGACATACAGTGGCTTGTGTAGGAATATCATGTTAGAACCCCGCTTCTCAGGCCTCCTCCCACAGATAACAATAGTCACCCTACTGGTACTTTGTCACTCCTTTGCTCACAGGCTCACCTGGGAAGTGCATCCACATCAAAGAGGTGCCACATTTTGCCCCCCCCATTCTCTGCCTCCTGCCTGGGAATCAGCTAGTGACTGAAGGCACTTCCTGAAAACTTAGGAGAGGAGGCTCCCTCTTCTGCCACGTAGGCTCTGATTCTCTTTAGAAACTTCACCATGAGGTCTCTGGTGCGCGACCCAGACTCTTCTGAGAACACCTGCCACGCTGCTGCTCCTAGCTGTGTGTTCGCATCATTAATATCTCTCACAACACACTTCCCAGTTCTCAGTTATCTGTCTCAGTGTCTCCCTGGAATCACCAGCCCCAAATCCCAAACCTAACAGTATGGATTTGGAGGTAGAGGGGTAGAGGAGTGGTGGGTTTGTTGGTTATAAAAAAGCCACAGCATTAAAGCTGACCACAGAGAACTGATAAGGGCTTATTAACCTTATTAACTGTATTGAACATTTTCTTCCTTTGCTTTGGACTATATATAGTTTTGATGCTAAAACCAGGAATGCAGGGAAGGATGAGGTATTCTGAAGATACTAGTGCCCTTTCTTTTGGCTGGCAGACTGTTGAAATGATGGACCTTAAGAAATTACAATTTATCCAAGAATCTCATGCTGGGAGAAAGAAAAGACTGAGGCCCAGCCAGGGAAGGAACCTGAGCCTGAAGAGGAACTGTCCCCAGAGAAGGGTTTGTAAGTTGCCAGATGACCTTGTAGCAAGTCTGGCCCACAGGAAAGCTTGGAGCTGAGACAGTGGTGATTGGCCAGACGCTTAGGACCCTGAAGCTGGACCAGGGGGTGGTCCCTGGGTCTCTTGACCCTTCTTTCCATAATATGAATCTCCTTTGCTTTTTTTTTTTTTTTTTTTTTGGTTTTTCGAGACAGGGTTTCTCTGTGTAGCTTTGCGCCTTTCCTGGAACTCGCTTTGGAGACCAGGCTGGCCTCGAACTCACAGAGATCTGCCTGGCTCTGCCTCCCGAGTGCTGGGATTAAAGGCGTGCGCCACCACCGCCCGGCCTCCTTTGCTTTTTACATTGGGTCTTTTAATAGACTGGCTCGGAATGGGTGGCTGACCCTGGCCTGTTAAGGCAGCCAGAGCATGGCTCTGTCTCTAACTCTGGTCGCAATGCTAGGTTAGATCAAGCAGCTTCACGCTGTATTAAATGATCTTTCGCTTTCTGTACCACTGCTATAAAACAGTCTGCTTATTCTCTGAAAATAAAATAGAAATGGTTATCTCTTTCCTCCTTCCACTGCCTGAAGTACGGAACTGCAGACGTTTCAGAACTCTGTCACCGCCCCCTGACCATCCTTCGGTACGTTTTGTTTAGGAAAGGACCGCGTGGCATCACACACTCCATGTACAGCCTGCCTTTTCTCTTTAAATCTCTGGTGGGCCTTGCCGTGAAACCTAACTCTGGTTTTGCTTTGGTTTCGTCTGCTTCCTTTTTAAGTGTATCATCTTCCTGCTTGCACTTTTTTTTTTTTTTCTAAAAAGGCAGAGTTTGTGAAAGGCGAACCCCCTATCCTTGGAGCTAAAAGACAGGAAGTTTGCGTGGGGGGAGGGGAGAAAGCATTGCCGGAATAGGATTTTACTCTTCGGTTCTAAAGTACAGCTGCTCTTAGGGCTGGAGATGCTGCTGCCCAGAGAACGAGATATAAAAAGATCTCTCTGGCTCGATTTCCTTATTTTCCAGTCTTGCCGACAACTCCAGGAGAAGCGTCTAAGCTGATTACAGGGGTTAGAGAAGTCTTCCGTTTGAATCCACGTTTCTTTCTTGATTCAGGATGACCAGCTAACAGAGATTCATTACTTACGTCCTGAAATTAATTGAGGAAATTTATTAATTTCCTTGAAACTAGATCTTTGGAAAGTCTTGATTTTGCCTGTCTCTTGGGTTAAAACTAATCAGCGTTGGAGATTGATAAGTTTTCTCCCAAACTTTTCCTCAACTCCCCTGCAAGCAAGAGCGGACTCTACTCTTGGGGTGCCTTTTGTCTGTGTGGTAGGTATAGATCTGAGCTCAGGTCTTTCTCCGGTGTGCAAAATTACCGTGCGTCTGCCACTCCCAGCCCTGTACTGAGGTCCGGGCTGCTTGCCCTTAACATCGCTCATCCTGTGTAACTGAGGTAAGTTGTCTTTTTTGTTTTCTGCTGTCAGAGGTCAAACTTAGGGCCTTGTGCAGGCCATGCAAATGATCTACACTGAGCTATACTCCCAGACCCGTTTTGTTTTTATATCTTTCTGCTGAGTAGAAACTATTAATTTTTTTGACTTATGCATTGGCAAATGCATGATTAAATCTGTACTTTTTACACTTTACTCTGTGTATGAATCACTTGAGGATCTTATTAAAAATAGGATAAAGGTGACTTAAGAGTCATCAGAATGTGTAGCACATGCGTATGTAATCAGCAAAGAACAAATAGAACTAATTGAGGAAATAAAAACAGGAACTTGAGATGTAGCTCAGTAGTTAAGCACTTGCCTAGAATGTTTAAAGCACTGGATTCATTTTCAGTGCCACATGGGGATTGGAAATTAAAAATAGTCATGCTCTGAGTCTGAGATTCTGTTTAATTGTCTGTTTGTTTGGTTTGGGTTTGAAGATATTGTCTCTCTATGTAGCCCTGGCTGGCACACAACATGTAGAGCAGGCTGGGCTCAAACTCAGAGATCTGCCTGCCCCCACCTCCTGAGTGCTAAGATTAAAGGTGTACACCACTGCATCCTGTCTTAGATTTTTTTTAAATTTTTTTATCTAAAATAAAAAATATTTTTATTTTATTTTGGAATTTGTTTCTTTTATTTTACCTAGGGATTGAACTCAAGGATTCATATGTGATAGGCCAGTGTCCTATCTCTGAGCTCTATCCCCAGCCCCTAGATTCTGCATTTTACAACCTCCAAGGTTTGTAAACCTCAAGTATTCCAGCCTTGAGTAAACAAGGACTTAGCTCTAGAGATTTTGCTTTATAAGAAGGGGTTGGAAGGTACAGACAGGATGACAGGATTTGGCTGAGCACAAGATTAATGTAGAGCACTGAAGAAGAAAAAATCAGACACTATCCCTGCTCTTTTCCTACTGTGAGGGGTTGTCTTTAAATTCCGAAGTTTCTGTTAAAGAGTTCCTAGATGTATGTAGTTAACCAGGTTAGTCATGTGAGAGGAGGTTGGCGGTCTCCTCTGACTATATGTTCATCTTTGAGCAAAGCCCTTTCTTTCCTCTCCACACACGCCACATTTATTTACCAGTCTATGACTGTTTTGGTGCTACAAGACCAGAGAGGAGTGGTTAAGCAAAAATTCCTGTTCACAAGTCTAAAGTATCTACTGTCTCGTCTTTTATAGAAGAAGTTTGTCAAGCATCCCATGATGTCAGCAGAGGTGCTGTCTACTGTTTGGGTCAGAGGCTATGACTCTGTCTTTGGCACTGAGAGAAAAGATTGAGACAGAAATCCCTGCTTGTTTGAAGCTTACCTTATAGATAATAAGCAAGCAGAAAAGAAATACATGATACAGTGTAAAAAGGATATTCAGGAAAGCAAAAGGAGGTTTAACAACAAAATGTTAAGGACAAATATTTGAAGGAAGTCTGGGAGAAAGGCAGAAGGAGTGGAGGAAGGTGTGGGCACAACCTGCTAGAAAAGCAGTCAGGAGACCGGTGTGAATGGAGTAACCACCTTATGGTTCCCACACCCGTGCATTTGGTTGTATGCAACAGTTACTGGTGGCTCAAGGCAACATTCCACACTGCACTTTAATTCCACAGGCCAACTCACTGTTCTATGATAGGGGCATATAGTAAATGATGTGAACAGGTGCGTGTTTCCAAACCTCTTTTACCACATATATATGCTTGTGATAAGAAGCAATACTATGTCAAATACATGGCAATACCCTTGCTCTTAGATACACGGCCAAGAAGTAATGTGAACTGTGACAATAGATATTCTTCAACTTCATGAAAATAATGCAGGCAGATGTTTTGCAGGCAGGACATGTAAATTTCTACCCATAGTATGTGATTATCCTTGGGAGAATTAAGAGTCGTTTCCTTGGATTGGGAGAGTGCACAGATTTCCTGAAACTAGGTGGCTACCTGGCCATCCTGGGTAGTTATATCACACTGATGGCTTAGTATTGGCTTTGGCTGTTGGTAGATCGGGGGCCCTGCAAGAATGATAGGCAGAGCACCCTGAGAGAAGTGAAAACCTTGTGATAAGCTCAAACATTATCCTTGTATGCTGCCACAGCCCATCTGTGACATGGAATCACTGAGCGAGTTTGAGGATGTCTAGGGAATGAGTGTTATGGACATTCACAGAGAGGATCATCTTGGCCGTCTGATTTTTTTCAAACCTCTAACATTATAGTATACTACAGTGGGCATACAGCTATCCTTATTTTCTGTGTCTCCCCAAATCCCACCCCCTCTTCACATTGTTGTCAGATTTTCGATTAGGAAACATTTGCTAGGTTAATAACTGCATACTAGGTATTAGATGCTGTGTTGTCTATATTAAAACTCTTAGTCTTGTGCTGCCTTGGAGACTGACATGTCAATCTGATTGAGGTTATAAATAATCTAGTAATCTATCTGGTTTTTGTTCCCACTGAGTAGGTGAGTTAAATAGGAATTAGGGTGAGGTTGTTGGTTACTTTATCTATTTTTGGTCACTGTACTCTTTAGGGACATAGTACTGGCTAAGTATCCTTTGTCCAAAATTCTTGGGGCCATACGTGTTTCAGATTTGGGAATACATGCATGTATTCCTTAAATTCTGAGGATCAGACCCAAATCTAAGTGCAGAATTTATTCACATTTGATTATTCACATATACTTTGCAATAAAGCCTGACAGTGAGCACACCTACATCTTTATTGTGACCCAAAGCTTCAGACTCTGGAGTACTCAGTTTCTGGACTTTTGAGTTTGGGGTTTATACTAATACTGTTTTTGTGTTCTTTCTTGGCTGATAGGAGTGGAAGGGCAGGTCCAGGGGACCCATTAATGTTTGCCACCGTCACAGCTGCCGCTCCGCAGGGGATGCCACCTATATGCTCTCTGGAGAGTTCACTCTTGGAATATTTTCTGTTCCTTGACAGGTCGACAAGGTCGAGTGGGCAATTTTAGAGGACATATTTAATATCCTCCAGAAGTGTTGACTATTCTGGACCAGCATTAATGGGCAATCTTATTGCAAGTGCAAATTCCCAGACGTTAGCCTAATCCTATTAAATCAGAATCCTGGTGACTGGTTCCCCCAAATCAGTATTTTCTTTCTGGCTTTGTGAAGGATGGTGGTGCTGGTACTTAAGCCCAGGGTCCTGGGGATGTGCCCTCCTACTGACCTACACCCTGCCATTGAGATAATCTACCCTGAGACTCACCACATGTAATTATTGATAAATACTCACTTCTATCAGTAGTTTTCAACCAGGAACAATTATGTTTCTTATGTAAGACTTTCAAATAAAATACACCATTTATGTATAAGTATCTCTCATGTAATAATTTTAATCTAAGATTCAAGTTTCATTTGTATTGGTTAATAATCTTCCACTCAAGCTCATGCAAGCCATTCTAATTAAATACAGTGGGTCATAATGCACACACACACACACACACACACACACACACATATACACACACACACACACACACGCAAAGACATGAAAGTAGCTGGGAGGGAGAGACGAAGGGGTTTGGTGGGAGGGGGAAGAGGAAAAGAGAGGATAATGAGGATAAATATAATAAAAGTATATTATATATACACACATATACATATATGTACAACATTGTGAAAGAATCAATAAAGGGAAAGAAAAACTTCCCACCTATGCTCCTCAGAGGGCTCTCAGTCTCTGAACCGACTTGGTGCTGAGTACTAGGTATAAGGCATACTTTGGTCTCCCAGGGTTCTGCCTCACAGACCGAGATTTCTTTCTCCCTACATGTGTCATGGGAATCTCGGTCCTGATGATCGGTGTGCTCTTGGCACAGAGCACAATAGGTCAGAGAAGAAGCTGCTTGCCTCTCATCCCTCTAGCTGACCCTGAAGTTGCATCACATGCCTTCTAACAGTGGAGCGGTCCCGGCTGGCCTTGAGCTCAGTGTTGTCTCCCAGAGGGTAGGGTACACATTTCCACATCACATGCCTTCTAACAGTGAAGCGGTCCCGGCTGGCCTTGAGCTCACTGTTGTCTCCCAGAGGGTAGGGTACACATTTCCACATCAGTCATATGGACCATTCTTGCTGACCCACAGACTTCTTCAGATTTAAGTCATCAATTTATTATGTCTTCTTTGTGTCTGGCTCACCAAAGCATTTCCTGGTTGTGAGCCATAGTCTTTAACAGCTGAGCCATCTCTCTAGTGTCCACTAAGCATTTAAAAAAGATTTACTTACTTTTTTATTGGTGTGTGTATCTGTGTAAGGGTATGCACACTTATGTGTGGGTGCACACTTCTACCTATGTACATGTAGGCCAGAAGAGGGTGCCAGGTATCCTTTATTACTTTCAGCCTACTTTGAGTCAGGGTCTCTCCTTGACTGTGAAGCTCACATTTTCTCAGGTAGGCTGGAGGCCAGCAATCCTTATGATCTTCTTGTTTCTGACCCTTCTCAGAGTGGGGGTTACAGACATGCAGGAGACGTCCAATTTGTTTCATAGATGCTGCAATTCAGACTCTGGTCTTTACGATCACACAGCAGGCACTCTCAACAGCTGAGCCAAATCTCTAGTCCCAACCGATTGATTTATAAACATTATTTGCTGAGGTGTGTGCACAAAGATGCTGTAGAGCAAGTGTGGAGATCAGAGAACAATTCGTAGGAGTTGATTCTCTCCTTCTACCACGTGGGTCCTGGACCTGATCTCTAGTCATTGGGCTTAGCAGCAAGTGCCTTTACCTTTTATGACATCTGCTGACCCTTATCAATGAATTTTTAGTGTAGTGATGGCAGTACTAACCCAGAGGAGTCAAGTTAGTAGATGCGCCCCCTCAGGCTGAACTCATTATTTCTGTAAATGTTGTTCTTTTATCTAAATTATGTTAGAGATTTTCTGGTTTTTTCAACTGCAGACATCATCGAGTCTAGACATTTATTAGCTATCCTTTCTC